GCTCTTGTTACCCAGGCTGGAGTGCAATGGCGCAATCTCGGCTCACCGCAACCTCCGCCTCCTGGGTTCAGGCAAGTCTCCTGCCTCAACCTCCTGAGTAGCTGGGATTACAGACACGCGCCACCATGCCCAGCTAATGTTTTGTATTTTTAGTAGAGACGGGGTTTCACCATGTTGACCAGGATGGGCTCGATCTCTTGACCTCGTGATCCACCCGCCTCGGCCTCCCAAAGTGCTGGGATTACAGGTGTGAGCCACCGCATTTGCTAAATCTGGCCAGTCTCCCCTTCCCTACCTCTTTGCCCTTCCCTGCATCCTCCCTGCATCCATCCTTTATGCAGGAGCTGGACTGAGATTTTGCCCTCTTTTATTTGAGACAGGGTTTCATAATGTTGCCTAAGCTGGTCTACAATTCCTGGGCTCAAGCAGTCCTCCCACCTCGGCCTCCCAAAGTGTTGGGATTACAGGCATGAAGCACTGCAACCAGCCTGGACTGAGATTTCTAAAATACCAGCCTGAGTGTGTCATCTCTTACTTAAAACCCTCTCCTTAAAACGATGTCCATAGCCCTCAGGATCAAGTCCAAACTGCAGGACACTATGTTAGTGGCTTACAACAGTGTCCTTACCCGGTGCTTCTTTCCCCTGGGTCTTCCAAAGTCCCTCTCTCCTCTGGCCTTGGGCTGTGCCCTCTGCCTGGACACCTCACCCTCATTTGCATCCTAATTTCTTATCCTTCCTGTCTCAACTGAAGCACCAGGCCTGTGAGACTTCTCTGACTCTTGCCCTAGGTCCAAGCTATTTGTTCTTGCTGAGCTCTCTTGATGATAATGACTTGTTTAATTGGCTCTACAGTGCCAAACTATCAGTGCCGTCAGGGCAGAGACCACTAAGCCCCTTGCACTTAACAAAGGGCCTCGCATACAGTAGGTGCCCAATAAATGCTGCCGAATCACTGACTACCGTAGAAAGGGTTCAACATCATTTGGGTCTGGGGTAGCGTTGCATCAGCACACGGAGACCCATAAGGCCAGATAAGAGGCTGTCTCTCTATTGCTTTAGGAGGGCAGCCACAAAGATGATGGCTTCTGGCATCTTTCATGGAGACAGGCCAGCACCACTGTAACTTGATGAGACACACTCCTGTCACACCTAATAAATTTGCCAGCCTGTCATCCTCTTCCCCTGCAAAAAAAAAAAAAAAAAAGGAATCATCTGGAAGTGAACTTAGAAGAACCTAAATCACAGAAGCTCAAAATCTCGATTCCAGACACATTAAAGAATAGGGTGGAAAGGTTAAGAAATGCTCCCACCAACCCTTCTGGCAATTTAAATATCGCCTGACTTTAATGATTAAGTTTCTTATCAACTAGCAGCAGCTAGAGGCTTAAGGCTGATTTCAAGTTAAGAACTTGATGCTTTGAGGGACCCCAGGTCTCTTGCCTCATCCAGATCCCATTAATCATAGGACTTTGTTATGTTGGCCTTGTCCTTCCAAATGTTCTCCTGGCAAAATGCTCATGGAAGGGCAGATAGCTCTGAGTTCTTTCTCTAGATTAGAGAAACTCCCATGACATGACAGATTTTATTTTCTCCACTTAAAGAGAAACACATGGCTTCACGCATTTCCATTTTTTTTCTTCTCTCCTACGTTCCCCTGGATTCAGCTCCTCTGCTCAAAGCCAAATCCATTCATTCCAAAACCCCCCTTCCCTTGATTTCTCTGTCCCTATCATTTGTAAAGTAATTTTTCCACAACCGCAAGCCAAGATCTTACCCATTCTACTTGTCTGGAGGACTCCTTTCTTAATTGATTTTTATGAAAATTGATTTGTATTGAGTAAGAGCACCTGAAATACACACACACACACACCTGCTTGTGTAAGTACTGCCTGGCTGAAGGACACTTAAAAAACTGAACTGCTTTCACAAAATTATTTCTTCTGGGGGGGTGCGGGGTGCTAGCGGGTCTTCTGTTTAGATCCTACGAGCTCACACAGTAGAATTCTAGTCTTGGAGAGTGACAAGCTCATTACGTTGCTCTCCACCCCAGCTGAAGAAGTCTAATGGAAGTGAGAAAACTGTAAACAAACAAATATAAAAACTAAGTGAGCTCAGTATCCGAGGTTCAGATGAAAGTTGAACACGGGAAGCTGGTCCCAACCACTGAAGTGTTTAGAAGTGACAAAATCCTGGTTCCTGAAGAGGCACAGCTGAGTTTAACAACTGCTTTTTCACACATTAGACAAAGCTGTCAATTCCAAAAGGAAAACAATTGTAAGTGAGATGGAGGCAAGCCAGAGAAGAAAGCAGAAGACCGGGCTGGGAGTAGGGGGTGCTTAGCAGCATCTGACCCCGGCTCTCGATGGGCAATCACCCAGGCCGTCATCCAAAGGACTGACTGAGCAAGTTCCCAGCAAGGCCCCAACATCTGGGGCAGCTCATGGACCTCAGTAGACTGGCAAGTGGTCTTGCCCCATCCCTTTTTTTCTTGGTCTATCACCTGTACTCAGAGCAACCATATGAATGGTCCCCAGCCCCCAAAATGCCACCAGGAGAACATGAGGCTGCAAATACCCCAGAGTGGATCTTCAGTGCCCAAAACAATAAAAATGTCCTCCAGAGCCAGCAGAACCTCTAACAATTCAAAAATGTCAAACAGACCACACAGTGATCAACAGAGTTACCCGGCCCACCAGGCAGAAGACCCGCATTACTATTACTCCCACCGACAATGGCAGCAAACACTGCCAGGTAGTGTTCTCATGGTCCAGGCACTGCAGGAAGTAATCCTTACCTGAATTATCAAGTTCTTATACTAGTATAGTCAGTAGAAGAAACTAACTCAGAGAGGGTAAGTAGGTTGCCTAAAGTCTCCCAGCTGGTAAGGGACAGAGCTGAAGCTAAAATTCCAGAGCTGACATCAAAGTCCACCTTGTCACCTCTCCACTGTACCGTGACCATGCACATTCTGGGGGGGTAAGGGAGGGAATAGGGACCACCTCCCTGAACCCTCTCTCTGACCCTAAGAGGTAACTCCAGTTAATGGCTGCCTGGCCTCTGCGCTGGGATCTAAGGGACCCAGGGAGAGAGAGGCATCCTGGGCGGTCCTGACAGATGGGCCACCACGCATTATCTGTCCCCATCCTCAACTCTGCTGCCTACAAGAACCAGGCCGCCTCCTGTGCTGAAGACCAGTTTAAGAAAGCTAAAGTTCATCAGTGGTTCTCGTGGGAAAGAAATAATATATACCCTTGGGATCATTTTTCTTCATAAGTTTGTTTCTTTGCTGAATGTCTGCCCTAGAATGTCATCATCGGAAGGTATTCTCTGAGCCCCTTTCCCTTCCAAGGCCATGTCCTGCAGGCTTTAGGCCACAACTGAAGCCTCTCTTTGGAGTTTCTTATCTTTTCAGGGACCCTAGCAGCTTTTCTTTTCCCAAGCTCTCCTGAGGACCAATCAGTGGTGCGGCTGCAGGAAGCTAGGGTCTCAGGAGGGAAGGGACAGGTCGCCCCTCACCCAGGAGGCCCTCCCAGCCAGTGCGCGGCCGGCGCGTCTCACCTGCACGAAGCCCCAGAGCGGGTGTAGCGCGCAGTGCAGCAGCAGCGAGGACCAGCAGCAGCCACGGCGCAGCACCAAGTCCCGGAGGAGCATCTCGGCCCGCGGCGCCCGCTCCTGGGGCGAACTGTCAGAAGAGCAAGGCTCGGGTCAGGCGGACACCCCACGAACACTTTCGGCGCCGCACACCAACATACCTCCCAGCCTGGGTCGGGCGGGCACGCCCCGCACCCTGGGGCACGCTAGTAAACCAAGCCTGCACTTACACTCCGCCTTACACCTTCACTGACTCTTCGTGCATCCCAGAATTCACACCCTTTTCCTATGCACATCCCCAGAATCCCGCGTGTACACTTTAGCTCCGCACACAGCTCCAGAATACTGCGTGCATACCTTGGCCCCATGCATACCTCCAGAAACAGCCAAGCACACTTACTGCGCCCCATGAACCCCCAGAAGCAGTCATGTACAACTCACTCTCACTGTGAGCACACTTCAAACCCAGCGGGCATTACTCACCCTGCGCGCACACCCACAGAAACAGCTGTGCACACCCACCAACCCTTGCCCGCACCCTCGCTGACCCTGCATGAACGGCACCAAGAAATCACACGCTGCGTGCACCCTCACGGCCCGGCGGGCCTCATTGCGCACACTGCAACAGAGGCACCTCCGTGCGCTGCCCCACTGCACGCCCCCACCCAGCCCGGATCTCCCGCTCCCGGGCGTGGGTTTCCCCCCACACCTCCATCTCCGCCCGCACCCTTGCAACGCCTCACGCCACCTTGCCTGGTGGCGGCCCCAGCCCACCCTCGGCTCGGGAAAGAGAGGTCCGCGTTCCCCCCGCGGCAGCTCTGTTGCCGAGCCGCCGGACAGCCCCCATTTAAAGCCAGCCGCCTCCCCAGTCCCCCGCCCTCTAGGCGGGGCCTCGGTCCTCACCCTGGCGGCTGCGCGGGCGCCCGGGGGCTTCACATGCCGGGGAGGAGCGCCCGGCGCTGGAGCAAAAGTTTGCGCGCCGGTTGGGCCTCCCAGGCGGCTGAGCAGAGGACCAGGAGCGGCGTCCTCGCACGGGGCGCAGGGCGCGGTGGCTCCGGGCTGCGCCTGGCCGCGCGCTGGGCGGGAGGGGCGGCACCCCGCGCCCAGGGCCGGGGCGGGCCGCCTAGGCGGAGGCAGAGGGCGGGGAAAGTCTCCTCCAAGCTGCCAGGAGCCGGCCGCGCGAGCCCTCCCCCTGCCCGCGTTGGCTCCCTGCCCTTCCCGGTGGCGCCGCGCGGCTGCCCGGGGCACGGGGGTGCCCAAGCTGTCTGCGACCCTCACGCCGGCCCGAGAGAGGCAGCGGCGGTAGACGCCGGCAGGGAGCGCCCGCTGGGGCAGCAAAGCCGCGGGCGGAGGCGAAATAAATAATGCACGAAAAAGGAAAACAGACGTGAGCGGAGCCAGAGCCTCTCCCGCCTCCCGCCCCGGGCTGCGCTCCCGCCCGCGCTCCCCCCACCTCCTCTCCGCCGCCGCCGCCAGCGCCGCTGCAGTGATTCCTCGTCTCCATCTAGCGAGGCTATTGTGTATTGGGCGCTTAATTATTTATTCACCCTGGAGGCCGAGGATTCCCAGTTCCAAGGGGTCTTGCCCCTTGCCTGCCCTTCCCCCAGGTCTCTCCCGATGCTGCGGAAAGGTGGTGAGTTCTGACTTGAGACCCTTTTTTGCGCTTCATCCCTGCGGACTCTCCCCGCAGCACTCCCGGCAGGCTCTCCTGGGCGCCAGGGCTGGAAGGTGCAGGCCGCCCCTCTTCGGGCTAAGGGCCTTGTCCTCTCCTTTGTAGTCCAGCAGCAGAAACTCTCTTGCAACACGAGACTGCGGCTGGAAGGAGTTGTGACGGCCCTGGGGAGAACGTTTCTACCACTGCTATTCCTCAACCATCTGCAAACTCCTCTGTTTGAGGCAAGATTATCAACAAGTCGGTTCTTCGGGAAGTAGCCTGCTTACACCTCTTTCAAACCAGCTGCGCCTAGCAGCATCCCAGGCAGGCGGCCGCTCTGCTCTTGGGCGGAAGCGCGTTGACTGATGGGGAGCGCCTTCCAGAAGGCCCTCAAGGCCTGGACAATCCTATTTTAAGGTTGAATGAGAGAACCAGGGGCTTAAGACACAGAGCAGAGAGTCAGGCACTGCAGCGCATGCATGGAAGAACCCTTTACTGAGCACGTTTTCCCAGTATTTGGACACCCTTAAGCCATTCCTGTAAACACACGCTATAAACTGCTGGTTTGCAGAGTATAAAGCAGCCTGCAAACCAGCTTTCAGAACAATGTCTTAGCGGCCTCCTTCATGCCAGGGCGCTGCCCCAAGGCTCTTTGCCACATAAATGCTGCAGATTCTATCTCAACCAGCAAGATGCAGGGATGAATGGGAAGGAGACCCTGTCCCTTCTCCCCCAAGAATTCAGGGAGACGGATAAAACCCACAATTCCACTGTGATCTGCCATGTCACTCCCGCTGCCCTGAGAAAGGGGAAGACTGAGGAATGGAGGGCGGGTTGAGTAAAGGCTCCTAGGAGAGGGCGGCTTCCTGGGAGTAGGAACATCTCAAGCATCGGTAACCCTGTGCAAAGAAATGGAGACATTTGTTCAGTCCTTCATTCCTTCATTCCATATGTAGCCTCCATGCGCACCGGCAGGAGCCAGAGAGAACACTGGATGCTGGGTAGAAAAGGGAACAAGAGGATATCTCACTAGGGATGGGATAGGATGGGAGGAGGATGGGAAGAAGGTGACGGGCTAGGGGCTTCCTAGGTGACTCATCAACAGTTTGGAGACATTGAGCCGTTATTGGTCAGCTGAGGTCAAAATAACACTGGCTATTTGAATACCTGTCCACCTGAAACCAGTCGTGGAATTTTGCTCAGCATGATCTTTACATTTGACAACAGCCCCTGACATTTATCCATGGAGCTCTTTGCCACTTACAAATGGTATTTACACCACATTTTAATTCAGTTCTCACAACTCTGTGATGTAAGTGTGATTGCCCTGTGTGAGCAGTTCAGAGACCTTTGTGCCTGAGCCAGAATCACACAGTGGCTCACCAGGTGTTTGGAAATGCTAACCCCCAACTCATGACGTTGGGAGAACTTAGGTAGGTTTTGTGCATTGGAAAACTTACATTGTCCAATCTTCAGTATTGCTGTAGTGAACCTAATTTATGTATCTCTTGAGGGTCACCTGGCCCCACATCCTCCTGACCCTCCTGTCACCTCCTGTAACGTGAAGACCAGGCTCTTTCACAGGCCTCTCATGCTATGGGAGGCCTAGGAAGGACATGGCTCCTCACCCTTTTCAATCAGATGGTAACCCACACCATGGCCACATGAGGTCTGCCTACAGGGGCCCGATACCTCTACTTGGAAATACAGATAAGTTAAAGCTTGAGGCACCATTTTGACCAATGAAGGACAAGAACTGGAAGGGACCCAGCATATGGATTGCACTGGTTCCATTTGGCCCATCAAGAAATGTCCAGTAGGTGCAATTGAGCAACTGGCTGTGTTTGCCTCTGAGGATGTGACCAGCTCAATAATTTACAACCTGGTGATGCACATCTATAATCCTAGCTACTTGGGAGGCTGAGGCAGGAGGACCCTCTGAGTCCAGGAGTTCAAGAACAGCCTGGGAAACACCACGAGACCCTAAGCCACAAAAATGCACAACTTTCTATTAGCTTCCCTCTTTCCCTGCTTCACTTCCTGTTCCCCTTGTGTCTGTTGCCCTAGGATTGTATCCCTCAATAAAGTATAAGCAAGCAGCATTATTGCTTAATACTGTTGTCTCCTTCACAATTGCTACCACAAATGGTCCTAAAAAGTAGACCTTCAGAATGGAATGTTGGAGTTGGATTTCTCTTTTATCTATAATAGGCCCACTGCTGGGCCATCGCTGACAGACAGTGATAGTACAATTTCTAAAGCTTCACCTGCAGCTAATTGGAATGAGATGCAGGTAGAAAATAAGGCTTTATGAGATCACATGGCCATTGCATTTGGGGTTAAGTGGCTTTTTCTGATGGTATTGGAGGTCTTGCAAAGAGGAAATTATAGAGTCAGGAAAGTTCTCTACCAGCATAAGGCCTGCTTTGAAATGAAAGCTTTAAGGACACTCTTGACATCTACAAGACAGATTGCACTGAAAATTAGCCTGGGGACTGATGATAAGGGTGGCGGAGCTAAAGAAGAGACTAAATATGCAGCCACATAGATGTCTTATGTCCAAGTCACAGCTCTGACTAAAAAAAAAAAAAAAAAAAAAAAGGTTGGAGCTGATGACCTGGAATGGAAACTTTTGGGTAAACAAAACTGAAAATCATGGACCCCGATCTCCTCGAATCCTCTGGCAGGTAGAAGCAACTCTCTTCCTCTTGTTAGAACAGAATAGCTCCTCTTGGTCTGGGGACAACAATGGCCTCATTGAAGCAGGAACCTTGCAAGATAGTACTTGCTTTAATGACAATAGCTTCAGAAAATACATGAGAACTTTTTTCTGGCACAAAAAGAAGAAAAAGAACAGAAGGCTCAGAGGCTTCGGATCATAAGACCTGAGAACCCACCACTTGTCTACATTCCCTAGGATGGCCCAGAGAATCTTCCCTTCATTGAACCAGAAAAAAAGAAGTCCTGGTGAGCACATCGGCACCTTTGAGAAATTCAGTGGTGGTTCTCTTCTGAAGGCTGGGCTTGATGATGGGAGATGGTGGGGAAATGGACTCTTTTGGATTAATAGCAATCAATGTAATGGTGAAAACCAGGTGGGATACTGTCATGCCAGACAAAGTGGGCATAATTACCATAATGGGCAGCAAGGCCAGAGTGGCAACCAGGGTGCCTGGAGCCATAGGAACCTATGCTAATGGCCAACAGTTCATCACATAATGGAGGGAGAGACAAATGGGGAGCTAACAGCAGTGTAGCTTGACTTGTATAAATATATGTGTATTTAAAATCAAGAGTGTAACAGCAGAAAGATGATATCTACTGCAATGAAAATTATCTGAGATTGTTCAAAGCCCAGAGCCTATGATTGAAGGAGAGGCTGGATTTCTGAGGCATTAGGTTGGCCATGAAGAGTGGTAACCCAGCATGATAGAAGTGATATGCACAGCCCAGGCTAGAACAGGTCTAGAAGGAACAGGTAAATTGGCTAAACAGCTGGTCCAGATTCTCATGCCACCCACCTCTGTTGAAGCTCTTCCTCAAATTATATGTTTAGCCCCAGATGGGAGTTCCATGTGGCATTGGTCATGTCAGGGTCAACACCTGTGATGTTGATCACCACCTGAAGGGGGTCTGTCCTGCAGACCCTGACTCAGTGGCGGATGAATAAATGCGCTCACTTACACCAGAATAGAGTGAATTGAGTGGGCTAGAGATGGTTGTCAGCTGCTCTCAGAGGGCGACGGCAGCTAACTGACTACCGCTCCCTGCTCCTCCTCACATTTATTCAGTGTAGATTTAATAAGAGAGGTTCTAAGTCAACATGCTTGTGGAAAATTAACATGGTTAAAAAAGTGGTTTTATGAATCATAAAACCTTTTAGTTCCAGGACCCAGAGTAAACACCATTAACAGGTAATTCCCCTTCGGCCTTCCCCTGAGAGGACCATCCAGCCCAAAATTTACTTGAGTAAACAGAGTAGAGACAAAGGGATGTGGGGAAAATAGACTTAATGGAGGAAGCTTTTATTATCTTTGATTTTATTATCCTTGATTTTATATATCCTTTTATTATCCTTGATCTTCACTCTGTGACTTATGCTCTAACATAAGAACTGGCTGCCTTCAGCAGCCTCATTAAAATCTTTCAGCTTTCTAAAAGGTTTAAGACTATAGGCTTATAACT